CTGTAATAAAATAAACATTACAAAATTTAGGACTAAACATATAAGATACCTATTGAGATTTTAATGTAATAAACTGATAATCAAATCATAGCTAAGATTATGAATTTAGCAACCTAAGTATTCTCACAATATTCATAAGGTGGGTATCAAATATACACAAAATGAGGTTTTGATACTTTGTCTAGTATAAGTATTCATTCTTTAAGCTTGAATGTTAAAATCTGTTAGATGTTTAATATAATTGTATAGTATGTAATATGTATGCTTTTGTAATGTTAGTTAATAATATAATAGGAAAATACAATAAATTGTGGTTCTCACATCTATTATTAACACACTAAAAACACTTCAGCAACAAAATAAACAATGCGAAAACGGAAAATTAATATAAACAGATGTGTGATAATGATTAAGACTGATGATGGATGTTATAAAAATACGTATATATGTATTATTGGAAGCGGCGTAAAACTTACTCGCACATTCTAAAATCAAAAAATATTTTAATTAGTACATATTAGAGTGTTAGGTATTTATTTTAATACTTTTAATTTTCAATGATATTATTATTTATTTTATACTAATTGTATTAATTATTAGTTACAAATTCTTTCTTCTTTCTTCTTTCTTTCTTCACCATTTTACAGTCTTATCAGTCCCATTGCCGTAGGTAACAACATATTGCCTCCATTATTAACTGTTGCAATTTCATCTGCGTTCCTTACTCCTAGTATCCTCAGATCTTCCTTTATTCCGTCTTTCTATCTTTGTCTGGGTCTCTTTGTGTTTGGTTTTCACGCTATTATTTGTCCAATTAGTCCTTTGGATCTCCACACATGCCCGGCCTAACTTATTCGTGTACTTTTCAAGGTTCCAACAATACTAGGTTTGTTATATTATAGTTCTTCCAAATTTGTGTTGTTTTTATATTAATTTTTAATATTAATTCAACTTACCAGCTACCGTATTAATAATAAGTAATAACTAATAACAATATAAATATACTATAAAATATCCACACTGGCAAACCGTCTCCGCTCAGAATCGTTTTTCGTATCTATACAATGATATTTTATCATTTAATTCAAATTTAATATCATTCATTATACGGTAACCCACTTGTAACCTACTGTACAGCAGAGCGACATCCACTTGCACACCTTTTTTAATTTACTTGAAGATGTTCTTGGCATTATGAAATAAAACTCAGGAATATAAAATAATATACATATTATATCCCAATTTTAGGATAAACGTTAAGACAATTAAATGCTTGTTCCTTAAGAGGACTCCACAAGGATATATTTTGTTGTATCCGTCTTACAGGTGCGTAACATAGCAAATTTATGCTCAGCCGATCATGTTTAGCTCCGTTAGTTTAAAAATTACAGTGAATTGACCTATTATAAAACTTGATGGTAAGACAATATCTGTGTACGTATGTTGCTTTTTTACGATTATTCTGTTTTAGGTGAGTTATGAGCATTTTTCATTTACGCTGTATTATATAAGCATAACTTTCTAAAAAATCGAAGTATCGTAAAAAACCGAAATACGAACACAGATAATGTTCTTACCATCAAGTTTCATAATAGGTCGATTCACTCTAATTTTTAAACCAACGGAGCTAAACGTGATCTGCTGAGCATAAATTTGCTATGTTTCGCACTTGTAAGACGGAGACAACAAATATCCGTGTGGCGTCCTTTTAATTAAATGTAAAATGTAAATACTATTATATAGGTATAATATAGGCACTAAAAAAAAAAAAAAAAAAAACTATGATATGGACCATTATTAAGCCTGTATCATTCATGATTTATGTATTTACAACTGAGAAACAAAAATTCTAGCCAACCTCTTTAATGCAAATAAGTTGGAGTGGGTACAAGGTACATATTTAATGTATATCTGCAGGGCACTCAATTTACTGCATTACATTTTGGTATATGGAACCAGGTTTTACATTTTTGTATTTTTTAGATGAGACCCAGTATATTAATAACAATGGTACAAAAAGTCTCTCTTAACCAAATATGGTTTAAATTGAAGATATTCAATTATTTTACATACGTACTATTCTTTGCTTCTACAACAACATCGTTGTACAACACTAAAAAATTAGTTAAATAAACATTTACATTGGTACATATTTATTGGTACTTTTAATGCTTAAATTGTATTTCCCATTTTTAGATTCTGAGCGTATAGCCAACGAATCTATTGTATTTACAATGATGTGTGTGGTTTTTTTTATTCTGTCTGTTATCAGCATTTAGGGTAGTAAAAAATAAAAATGCACTAATTTTCGACCTCAGCGACTTTTCTGATAGATAGTGAATATAGTTGGAACTTTTGTCAGGTCAAAATTCAAAATGTCCAGGGGTTTAAGAAGGCGTCGTGAAAAACAAATAAAAACGTTAAAAAAGGTAATTTTTAAAAAACCTATTTTATTTCTTTAGTGTACATGTAATTAATTCAAAAACTAATAACCTTAGATACTTGAAAATGCATTTATAACTAGGTGATCCCGTGCACTTCGTTACCCGTTAAATGTATCAACTGTATATGACTCAAACTTTGTTCAATTCCTTATTTAATATTCGGTGTATGGTGTTCAAAATTTATCTTAACATTTCCATTGCCTGGAATAAAAATTCTGATTCGCAGCAGTATATTATCAGGTAGGCAATCTACCTGTGGTAGATCGCGGATCCCGTGATGTTTGTACGTAAGTGTATGATTTAACTCTAAAATATCAAAGTTGTACCCAATTTGGCGTATTCCACCTATGGTGGATTAATATAATCAATTAATACAAAATCCTAACCTAACCATACTAATATCAGATGAATAAAAAAAACCAAATTTAACCATTTTTTAAATTAGCTTGTCTTCTTCCCAGAAGTCTATAATCTACGCTCAAACATTAATTTATATATATAATATATAGCTGATCACCTGCACTTCGTTGCCCGTTAAATGTATCAACTCTATATGACTCAAACTTTGTTCGATTCGTTAGTAGTATAAATTGGGGGATTCTGATGCCTCATCCCATTATCCCATTATCCTTGCATTATCCCCTCATCCTCATCCCATTATCCCATTATCCTTGCATTATCCCCTCATCCTCATCACTCATCACACCGCGCGCCGCCGCCGCCGCCCGATCACTCATCCCTCACCCGCACCCGCATCCTCATCACTCATCACACCGCCCGCACCCCGCTGCTGAGCGTTAGTTATATTATTGTTATCACATGTTATCAGTGTTATCATATTATTTTCGTTATCATATTATTTCCGTTATTGTCATTAGTAAATCCGTTCGCACGCTCGCCGAACAATCAATAAATGACCATTATACCTATAGTATATCGAATAGAAGATACCAATTAATGAAAAATACATTAACCCTAATAGCCTAATTATTGTCATTGCCAGGATGTCTTAATAGCCACCTTAATAATAGATTGCAGCTGCGCGTATTGTCATTAGTAAATCCGTTCGCACGCTCGCCGAACAATCAATAAATGACCATTATACCTATAGTATATCGAATAGAAGATACCAATTAATGAAAAATACATTAACCCTAATAGCCTACTTATTGTCATAGCCAGGATGTCTTAATAGCCACCTCTAATAATAATACAAGTATCTGCCATATCGAAGAAGGGACAATTCACACGGTTATTATACTATGGCACTATGCTGAAACAACTGGCACTTCTCTTTAGTCCGTCTACTGCGTTAAACCAGTGTACACGTATATTTTTCTTGCTCTCTAAGATTTTTTTTAAAACAGTTTATCTAATAGTGTTTAAAAATAATTTTAAACATGGCTGATTCTTTCACCAACAACGATGCCCTATACAAAAAGAAGAATTTTACCTATGTTCCACCAACACCACCTGCGGACCTCATCGACTGCAATAATTTTACACTTGACTTCACCGGCCGTAAGTTTTTGAATGTAGGTTAGGTTTTAACCAATCAACTTCTCTTCGGTATTAGGTATAACATTTATAGATTTAGTGTCAAAGCCTAGTTGTGTGATGAGAAAATGTGAATCATATCCGGAAAGGTTATGAAAAAAACACGGGACAAAATTAGGTCGTTGCATTTTTAGGTTACACATAGAACACACCGTTTGTCTGTACTTTCCGGTCAAGTGATCGTGATCTCGCACGGGTAAGTTATTACTATTAAATTTACTTTTACAAAACGGACATGTTCCATGATCAGCGACTTCTCTGTGTTTTTTATTATTTTCATTGGTCATTACAAGCGGTATATTTGTGTTTAATAATCGATCAATGTTTCTACCAACTTCGACAATGTCCTCCATAAACTTCTTTGCAACCTCTCCCTTGTTTAAACTTGAATCACCTCTAAATAATACAGGTTCTGTTGAAATATTGAATTTTTCTAGTAGTTCTATAGGAATGTTCTCGGATGGTTTTATATAGTAACAATAACTCATAAGATCGTGATGATGTGTTATATTAGTATTTTTCATTTCATTTAAATCATTGTTTTTTTCAAGTATACATTCAAAATCAGCAAATATCAAGAAAGGATGTTTTTGAGTACGCTCCCAGTTTTCAAATTTCATAAAAGTGTTTGGAGGTGGCAATATAGGCAACAGAAGTTTATTTGTTATACATTTTAACTTATGATCATTAAGTCGTTGATGAGCGTTAACGCCGGAGTAAGTTTTAAAACATCGCTTACATATTGACATGGCGTGACCGTGTCGAGATAGTTGAGCACCGACTAATTTTGATAAATTTGTAACACGACAGTAATGTTGTTTTCCCGTTCCATCTCCAAATAATAACAAGTCATGGTGGTCATCTAATTCGTCTTCACATACTTTTACAGGAAATATTAAAGTTTGTTGTGATTTTGTTTTGAATCGGTTTTTGCGAGAAATGTTTTTAATGTCAATATTATTTTTATACGTAAGCTTCCCTTTTTTTGTACTATATATATTAACTGATACTCCTGGATTTTTTTTTTTCAAATTTTCCAACATCGTTTAGCGTAACGGGGAAATTTAAATTTGAAAAATCGTAGCTGTTTTCTACTTCCGTGTAATTAGATCCTATTCGAAAATTATTTACGGGGTCGACGAGTTTGGCCAAGATGCTATATTTAAAACATTTGTTGTCTGTATTTTGTACGTTGATTGTCGCTTTTTTCCTTTCTAGACATTCGGGTAGTGGTATATAAGAAGAACCTCCCAATGGCGTGTATTTATTAATATTGATTAAAATACCATCAATACTCACTAATGAAAAGCCGCTTCCTTTCAACATCATATCATTCTCCTCCTGTATAATTTTGATAAAATCTTCGTCTAAACTATTATTTATATCAGTGTCTAAAAACATCGATCTACATTTTGTTTTAAATGCCCTATTTTCTCTCACGTCTGTATTGGGAATCTCATATGTTGACTCTACTTTAATACTATATTTTATTGAACCTTGTTGTATAGAATTAAAAAGTAAATCCCTAATACTAAGCCTTGACTGTTCTAAAAATACTCTATAATCCATAATGTTTTCAATATTTTTTTTAAAAAAATTTTTACTTAAACCGTTGAATACTGAAGCAACTTCTCTAAATTCTGATGTTGTAGCGTTCATTCTCATACGTTTGCTTTTTCTAGATTTTTCCTCGTCCTTTTCTAAGTTTTCTAATAATCGAACCATATCCATTTCATCGATGTCATTTCCCCATACAGATGACTCTGATAATTCATTTGACGAACCGGCCGGGATGTCGGGGACAAATATTTGCGGTCCAATCTGAATCTGTGGAACGGGTTGATCAATCTGTGCATTGGGCTGACGATGTGCCGGAACGTTAACAAAACCTTGGGGAAAAATATAAGATATAAATTAAGGTAAAATAAATAATATTATATAAACCGTAAATACATACCATGAACATTTTTCAAATGTTTGGTTAGGCTGGTTTTATAGGTGAATATCGATGGGCAAACAGAGCACGGAAAACGAATACCGGTATGAGTTTTTCCATGTCTGACTAAAGCATCTTTACGTGTAAATTCAGATGAGCACTGTGTACATTTAAACATAATGATAATGTTTGAAATGAAAAAATAATAAAATGTTTAAACACTTCTAAAAATTTTAAAGTCGGCGCGAGCGAACGAGAACGATAAACGTGTCGGGTGAGACTAAACCGATTCAGCTGCATTCGGTGATATATAAGCGCAGGTACGCGATGAAGAACTAATGTTTCCATGTGTGTGAATATTTAATTGAATACGGATAATATACCTATTATTGTCAATACGGGTAAAGTGTCTTTCAATATAAATGGTCATTGTGGCCAAAAGTGTCTTTCAATATAAATGCCCATTGTAGCTATTAAGAGTCGGCGACATCCTGACGATGAGCAAGACAATAATTAGGCTATTAGGGTTAATGTATCTAATGGTAGGAAATATCTTCTATTCGATATTTGTATACTATAGGTATAATTATTGATTATTTTATAATGTTCGGCGAGCGTGCGAACCGATGGCTCCTAATGTCAATACGCGCTGCTGTAAGCTATTATTAAATGTTTCTTTTGCAGTTTTATGTACCCGTTAAATATGGCAAGTTCTTATTATAAAGTATATGTGACGGGGTGGTGCAGTGATACGGTGATCGCTCGCCGAACCGACGGACTCGGGTTCGAATCCCGGTCTGGAAAAAATTTTTAGCTTATTTTCCCCGGGTGGCGGCGGCGGTGTGATAACGGAAATAATATGATAACAGTGATAAAATATGATAACACTGATAACATGTGATAACAATAATATAAGTCACGCACGTACGCGAGCAGCGGGCGGTGTGATGAGTGATGAGGATGCGGTTGTGGGTTGTGGTTGTGGTTGTGGTTGTGGGTTGTGGGTTGTGGTTGTGGGTTGTGGTTGTGGGTTGTGGTGTCAGGATTATAATGTAGAACATATATATTTTTTTTCTTTTAAAGATGGTAGACGAGTTGACAATATACGACATGTTATACCCACCGAGTATTAGGTCCACGCGATTCAACAGTACTCTGCACCCGTCCTGAGTTTTTGACTCTATTACTAGCACATTTTCTCCACCATACACCATACTGGATATTTTATGTAATTCAGTCTCAAGAAATAAATTTCGCTTATATTTTTGCGGTTGATCCAAAATAAATGACAATATATTTCCCATCAGAGAGAATATACGTCTTAAAAAATCGGCTGGCATATTTACATACCGCGATGGTGTGATTATTTGGACTACGATATTGAATTCGTCTGTAGGATCAAGTCCTACATTCAAAAACTTACGGCCGGTGAAGTCAAGTGTAAAATTATTGCAGTCGATGAGGTCCGCAGGTGGTGTTGGTGGAACATAGGTAAAATTCTTCTTTTTGTATAGGGCATCGTTGTTGGTGAAAGAATCAGCCATGTTTAAAATTATTTTTAAACACTATTAGATAAACTGTTTTAAAAAAATCTTAGAGAGCAAGAAAAATATACGTGTACACTGGTTTAACGCAGTAGACGGACTAAAGAGAAGTGCCAGTTGTTTCAGCATAGTGCCATAGTATAATAACCGTGTGAATTGTCCCTTCTTCGATATGGCAGATACTTGTATTATTATTAGAGGTGGCTATTAAGACATCCTGGCTATGACAATAAGTAGGCTATTAGGGTTAATGTATTTTTCATTAATTGGTATCTTCTATTCGATATACTATAGGTATAATGGTCATTTATTGATTGTTCGGCGAGCGTGCGAACGGATTTACTAATGACAATACGCGCAGCTGCAATCTATTATTAAGGTGGCTATTAAGACATCCTGGCAATGACAATAATTAGGCTATTAGGGTTAATGTATTTTTCATTAATTGGTATCTTCTATTCGATATACTATAGGTATAATGGTCATTTATTGATTGTTCGGCGAGCGTGCGAACGGATTTACTAATGACAATAACGGAAATAATATGATAACGAAAATAATATGATAACACTGATAACATGTGATAACAATAATATAACTAACGCTCAGCAGCGGGGTGCGGGCGGTGTGATGAGTGATGAGGATGCGGGTGCGGGTTAGGGATGAGTGATCGGGCGGCGGCGGCGGCGCGCGGTGTGATGAGTGATGAGGTTGCGGGTGCGAGTGCGAGTGCGGGCGGTATGATGAGTGATGAGGATGAGGGGATAATGCAAGGATAATGGGATAATGGGTTGTGGGTTGTGGGTTGTGGGGATAATGCAAGGATAATGGGATAATGGGTTGTGGCATCAGAAGCCCCCTATTTATACTACTTTCGTTATTTAATAATCGGTGTATGGTGTTCAAAATATATCTTAACTTTTCTGCTACCTTGGATAAAAATTCTGATTCGCAGCAGTATATTATCAGGTAGGCAGAAGGACCCCGTGCTGTTTGTACGTAACTTTATAATAAAGCTTCTAGTATATTGTTTCAAAGACAGATAAAAAAAAATAAAAATCCATAGTCACAAATTTTTTGATGAGCATCTAAAGTTCAAATATTGACAAATACCGAAAAATCACGAAAATCAGCAAATTATTTTGAGTTGAGAATTCATAACAATTTTTCTTTTTAAATCTAAGATTTGAATATGTAATACAAGATTATTCATAAGTTTGTCTATCTTTATCAAAAAAAATGTTTTCAAGCAAATCAAATTAAATATTTATGAGCTTTGAAGTTTGAAGTAAATATTTTTACAATATTGGATATTCACTCGATTTCTCATGAAGCGATTTTGTTATTTTGTTGTTATTCAAAAACGAATAACTGTAGATACATGGAAATTGTACGGAATATTTATTTTATCAATTCTTATACTTGGATAAGGTTTTCAAAATATTTATTAACCTATATAAAAATGAATTGCTGTTCGTTAGTCTCGCTAAAACTCGAGAGAGGCTGGACCGATTTGGCTCAAATTTTTTTTAAGATGTTTGGAAATTGTCAAATGAAGATCTAAAATGTTCAAAATGTCCAACCAAGGGATGTGCTTGAACGGGGATTTAGAGATTTACGGTGAAAAATTTTGTTTATAAACGGTCGCCATGGGTTTTAAAGCTATTATAATAATAATTATTGGTTTCCGTTTTAACGAGACAGAATTGCTTAATTCCAAATATCTGTCAATGGCGCACCTATGATAGTTTTGTACCCGTGAAACAGCCGGTGGCTACTAATTGCGTCCCTCGGTAAAAATTTCTTCCGAATTGCGGTCCGAGTTTTTTTGGGGTGCATACGAATTGCGGCCCGAAATTTAAAATTAAATTAATTTAAATATGTAAATTTAAATTTAAAAAGCTTCATTTTCCTTCACATTTTTATACAGACTTAGGACTGTCTGTAGCATCAGTAGATACTGCAGGTAGGTTAAAAATGATGTTTTGTTTTTATTTAAACATTTTGGCACTGGTAAAAACATATATGATATTTCTAAAGGTTAAAAAGTTTTTTTAACATTAAAATCTGATATTAAAATGCACAAGACGTACCACTGTATACCGCCGCAACGCAAGTAAACACAATCGTCATTATGGCACACGTAGGCCGCCGTAACAGTCGATATATAGACATCGACACCGCCGCGATCAGCGTATTAGTATTAGTGTCATCCGACTTGTGCTGCCGTCCATGTTCTCCCACTTACGTAAACATTTCCACAGCACAACGTCCAGTAAACCACCGGAGAACAGTGTCATCGGGGATTTCTGCCCGGTCGTCAAATCAACCATCTCAGATCTAAGTCATCAGAGCCGTGAGTCCAGACCATACATTCTATTTTATATAATTTGATCCTTGCTATAAGTACTTTTAAATGTACATCGCCTTGGGCGATTAATGAATATTAAAAGAAAATATTGTGAAAATAACTAATACAGTACATCGCAATAAAGAAAAACAGATAATAATTTAATGAACCAACAAAATTGTCTCTGAGCTCATTCATTTTATTACACCTTGTATTCATTCAATGCATTAAATTTTTTTGTACGCTGTGTTTTTATATTATATATGTATCAATATTAAGTAAATATTGAGAGTATTATACTCACATATAAGTTACGTACATAAAGCAATGCCAGATCTTCGTGGATGAGGAGGAAATATTGGTCGACAGACTCAGAATTCACAATTAGTCCAGTCGTTTAGGAGGAATTCAGTGACATACTTGGTGTAACTTTGATACTTTAGAGTTAAATTATAAAGTTATTTACAAACAGCACAGGGTCCTATTGCCTACCTGATAATATACTGCTGCGAATCAGAATTTTTATCCAAGGTAACAGAAAAGTTAAGATACATTTTGAACAACATACACCGATTATTAAATAGCGAATCGAACAAAGTTTGAGTCAAATAGAGTTGATACATTTAACGGGCAATGATGTGCACGTGATCAGCTATATATTATATATATATATATATAAATTAATGTTTGAGTGTAGATTATACTTCTGGAAAGAAGACAATCTAATTTAAAAATTTTTAAATTTGGTTTTTTTTATTCATCTGATATTAGCATGGTTAGGTTAGGTTAGCATTTTGTATTAATTGATTATATTAATCCACCATAGGTG